ATGTCCTTATTTGGAGTCTTTAATTAATTCCTTCAGCAATTACCACGAGACATGGTCCATTTTGCATTGTGGTATTGACACCCGGATAATTGATCCCGTGAAATTTTGTATAATACTTCGCATCCACAGAATACTCCAAAATCCTAAAATTAAATCATAAAAATATCATAGTACTTGACTCCATCTAAATAATAAATAAGTCGAAAAATATATAAGTGCGATAAAATTAAACTTAGATAAATACTTAAACAAAAATATAAAATACACACTTTTTCCGACCAATCATTGAGTCTTAACTCTGATCACGTTATATCATAGGCTCTCATATTGATTGTTTTACTTAGGTGTTTTCCGATGGTAGTTCATCTTTAAGTTGTTGCCAGTTGCTCTGATATATGAATTGGTTGACTAGGTATAATATGTTATTTTAGTCTTATGCTATGAGCATTTGTGTACGCCTACGTCATGTTGTATGTTTGATAGTTTAGAGTTAGATGATCCATGTTGGTTCATCTATATTGGTTGCGAGCTTGAATTTTCTTTTGCAGGTTTTGTTTCAAGAAAGGGGTTTTCGATCCATATGCCAAAGAGGAAGATTGTAACAAAATTGAATTCGACATTAATCGAAAATAATATTTACGTACTATATTTGGGCTTCTGGAAATAGGTATCATGAAATTTATGCTTGAAGGAAAGGGGAAATCTCTATCTTACCTTTCCATATCTTATTTATTCTCTAATTATATGCTTGGAATTAATTATCTTCCTTTAGCTTGAAGAAAAATAAATGATATTAGAGAATAAAAAGAGCAAGAGGAGCTAGAAATTTACTAAGATGTTGCTTACATATTCTCTTTCCTTGTTATTGATATTCTTTTACTGTATTATAATATTATATGTACTTAATTGTCTTTCTTTTACTAGTAGGAAAGGAAGAAAAATTAGATAATAAAATGAAGAGACTCGTGAGAGATTTGAGAGCTAAAAATATGGGAATGAGAGCTTTAAAGATCGAGCAAGAAAGAAAACAAATCGAGGATGAAAATATTCCCAAGAGTTGGAAAGGAAACAAGGAAAGAAAGTTTCACAATATTGGAGAGAGATTGTTTGTAGTTTTTTAGCCGAGTACGATCAAATGATCAACCTCGAGTTGTCTTCTCGAAGGAAGGTTGTTCGGAGTGTTAGTGTTATATACTAAAATTTTAGTTTTGGATGATATTACACTTTTACCCTTTATGAATGAGAATCATGTTGGATTAAACAAGTTCTATGATCAGTTGTTTTGCACTTATATAAAATGGGTCGTTATCGGGCAAGCAAAAGATCATTTTATCAGTTACTTGTGAAACAAGAATTAATGGTTCACAACCTATATGGAAATGAACACCAAATCCGAACGGTTTAGTGTCAACAGTACATTTGGTCTTCACTGATTAGTTGCACTAGTACATTTATATATTGAACAAGATCCCAGAGAAGATGAGTTCGTTTTATATTGATCATCGTAAATGAACTAGGCATCAGTTAATTACTGCGTTCTCTGAACCCATAAGATATTAAACAGACATATATATGCATTATATAGTATTTTGATTCACTTTTCTCTGGACTAATATTCTTACTGTCTTGAGTAATATTGCTACGTGTATGATGTGTTGTTATGATATTTACGGTCACCATGTACGTTTAGTTTAATGATGTCCGCTAAGTGAGTTCATGAAGGATTATTATGCTAAACCCTGCAGGTGGATAAAATTCCAGAATAGTAATAATGTGATTAATGAGCGTTAGCTTTGGTGAAATAATAATATATTAATTAATTCTTGATTATCAGTAATCGAAGTAATTAGTAGACATTGGAGTTTCAATTGTAATTTGGGTTAGGAAAAGAGAGTGTAATAATATTATGTTAGTAGCCAAATATTATTTATGTAATTGGAGGAGTGGGCCAGGCCCACAGTTAGTCCATTACTTAAGAAGACTTATTCCTAATCTCCTAAGGGTCCCTACTGTAGCTCTATATATACATAATTAGACTCATCGAAAAGAGAAGAAGAGATCAGAATTCTCATACGTGAAATATACAAACACGCACGACGTCTCTCTCTCTCTCTCTCTCTCTCTCTCTCTCTCTCTCTCTATCTCTATCGTTCTCTCTCAGTTTTCTGTTCGAGCTTTATCTTCTTTTTGTTGCTCCACCGATACAAGTTGAAGAGGTGTTTGAGTAATACAGTAGAAGATCCTAGGGTAATTAAGATACATATATTCATTAACCCCGGAGATCAGCCGGAGCCGACGAATCAAGACTCGGAGGCCGAGATCCGCCAACCCTAGCCCACTGGAGCGACGCCATGAGTCTGCCGGAGCCGCCAGCCACCACGACGCGCCACCCAGACCGAACCAGCGACCCGATGCAACCCCACACAACCTGATCGCGCGACATGAGCCGACCCAGCCTTCCGTTCGTGTGATCCAGCTCTCGTTTGTGTGTTGTTCCCGGTCATCCCGAATCCGTTAGATTCAGATAAATTTTAAGCTGTAAGTTTTCTACATCAAACCTTTAGATCTGTTGCGCATAGGTTTATGTTTGCTATTGAATTCATGACTTGTACATAACGAGACCCTCATAGATCCCAACACGGAGCTCCGTTCACTATCTAATCATCAATTCACAAAACCGAAAATAAAGGCTTAAACATGCGCTACTCCCTTGATTTGGGGTTGAATTGAACCAATTAAGCTAAGAAATTAAGAGCAAAGGATGAAAGATGCAAGTTTGAAAGAAAGATTGGAACTTTGATTGACTGGAGTCTCCATAACTCAAGAAAATGAAAACAAACAAAGAGAAAGCATGCGAGTAAAGTTTTTCTAGATAATCTAACACGAGTCTTTTTCACTAAATCATCAACTTTGAGCAAAGTCAAGACCTTTACACAAGATAAGCACGTATTGAACCTAACACACTTGCACAAGCAATGAAAATAAGGTAAAGTCCTAAAATCAAGCATCACACAAGATTCCTACCAAAACACCAATTTAACAAGCAAGAAGGAAAACAAACTCGAAGTAATAAGCCTTAATCAAGGTACTTACTCTCCTATCGCAAGCTCAGACGAAAATAATGCAAAACACTCAAATCTTGGACAAAAATAAAGTCATCGAAAAATATGAGTCATTGAGCTCCCAACACAAAGCTAGAGAGAAAAAATAAAAATAGAGAGAATGTAAAAAGTTGGGAATGTGTAATGTCTAAAAATACAAAGTACAATATCTATTTATAGCTACACCACAATCACAAACTAAAAAGACACACATTTAATGAATTCTGCAGTTCGTCATGTCTCGAAAGGGGTTTCGCAGCGAGTGTGCATGTTGGGAAAGGGTTGGGCCGCGGACTTGGGCTAGTTGGCGAGCTGGCGCCTGGTGGTCTCGCGCGCTCGCGGGGTCACGAGGCATGATTGGGCGCGTGGGTCCGGACCCGGTCATGGCTCGGGACGGCTCAGGTGGCTCGGAAACATCTCAAGATGGCTCGGCAATGGCTCGGACGATTCGATCTGCTCGGTCGGCTCGGACGGCTCGGTCGACTTGTTTTCGAAGCTTGACAAAATGGGGCCTAATCAACACTAAAAGATACGAGAAAATATGTAGAAAGTAGAAACACAAAAACACAAGACGAGAACAAAAATACACAAAATACGATAAAATAGACAGGTCGACACTAAAACGGATCTAAAAATACTCGACTAAGGCACGGAAAATACATAAAAAAATACGACAAAAAGACAACAAACAGAGAATCCATTAAATTTGAAGGATTTGAGCACTGATATTCGTGCATGGTGATTTATAAGGCACGAAAATTCAGTTTCTAAAGTTGAACGAGAAGATTTGGGAAATTATCGATTTCTGATAAACCTTCATATCGTTTATAGTTTTGTTTATAGTAAATTTCCACGAATTTTTGTCGTTGACCGAGCTACTCTATTATCCATATAGAGAGCTTAGAGTTTTACCGTTGAGTGCTGGTGAGTTTTTACATGGATTTTATGGTGTAGTCGAATTCCAACATGTTTGTATATCGTTGGTAATTCGAGTTGTTTGTTTGCTTTACTACTTGGTGCTTGAGAAAAGCACCAGAAGAGAGGGATGGTTTGGCTAGGAAGATGAGTTAATTTAGAAGGTGATGTGTGGTTGGTAGGTTAGTAAATTTGGTAAGGCTAAAATTATCGTTTTACCTCCTCAGATTGTTGTATGTCATTCTATTCAATAACATGCCCATTAATCATTTTTTTTTATCCAAAAAAGGTAAAAAGAAAAAAAAAAAAAAAAGAATAAAAACAAAGGCACCGTCAATTTAGGAGCCAGCTTTAGTTGGAATAATTTTCTCGTTTCAATATAAGTCATTGGATTAATTAGTTTTTTTTTGGTAGCCAGCCACGGTATTTGGAGTTATGCCCCAACTAATCTGTTGGTCGACCCGGGTCGCACGCCTGACAGTGGTGGGTGAGTCTCTCAACAAGGATTTTCTGCATCCACAAAGACTCGAACTCGAGACCTTACTTAAGCGACATCAAAATGCTTACTACTTGAGTCAAGCCTGTTGATATTAGATTATTTAGTTTGACACAGACAATGTAGCCAATAAATGCTGACGTGTTAATTTTTATTGGAGTTTATTTAAAAAAAAAAATGGTTCCCACACTTTAACATTTTACCTACCAAACAGATTTTCCCATTCAAATACCATTGCAAATCATGAAATCATCATCATTTTCATGAGCAAAACCACAAAGAAAAGGTCCGTCCATGCAACTAAAAGTCGATAAGAATTCATTCCCATTCATCAGTACACTCGCAGAAGTGCCTAAAATCAAAACCAAACGTATACTCTCATAAGACCTTGACGGAAAAAAAAAAAAAAAAAGAAAAAAAAGGAAGTCCTGCAAACACGAAGCAACTCCCGACATAAACCCGAAAAGGCACAAACGCTGTAGATCTCATCATATAGAAACAGAAACAAACACGGTGGACACTAAAATAAGAAAGAGCATCTTATTGACTAATTTGGCCGGCAGCAAAATTGTGGCAGCCGAGGTCGATCCAGCTGGCGCACCATTGCCTTGTGGTGTGTCTGCAGGGGTACTCGGAGCCACGCTGTTCGGGGGGTTCGAGCCCGTGGGGAGCTCTAAAGCCACTGGTGAATGAGCTGTATATTGGAAGATTAAATAAAACAAACACTATTAGTTTAAAAACAAAGAACAAAAAGAAGAAGAAATTTTAAGAAATATATATATATGTTGGTATATACCTGGGACAGGGGAAGCACTTGGTCCACCGCCACCGCCACCGCCACCGCCGACTGTGAGCACAAGAAATTAAACACAAACAAAAACAAAATCCTCATGCTGATCATTTACGAATATGGCAAGAAAACAGAACATAAATGGATACTAAGAAAGGACTGATCCACAAAAATTTTCTTGTATATGGGGCAATGGATATGTTTCTTAATGTGATTTAGGGCTGAGCATGGAACTCGGAGAATTCTGAACCGTTCTGAAAACCGAACCGAAATCACTCCGAACCAAAAAATAACCGTTGACCGTTTGACTTTTTCCGAACCGAACCGAACCGAAAAAATAATTGGTACGGTTCTGGAGATTTCACAAATATCCGTACCGAGAACCGAACCGAACCGTACCGAACCGAAAAACCAAAATTAAGAACCGAATTATAACATTAAATGTGTTACTAATATATTTTATGTCAATTTTGATTCTATATAATATAGTAATAAATATTAACATTAACTTAATTTCATTTTTAGCAATACTTGATTTACAATTGAATTTTTTCTATTATAAAATAATTATTCAAAATAATATGAAATTTTAAAAAATATTTTTGTAAGAAAAAAATATTATATTTTATTTAAATTTTAAATTTTCAATATTAGTTGCACAAATTTTAGTTATAACTAAAACTTAGAGTTACTTATAAAATTGATTTCAAAATAAAATATTTAATGTGAGGAAGTAGTGATGAATGTTGGTTTTATTAAAGCATATATAAATTAAATAACTAAAATTTAGAGTTACTTCTAAAATTGATTTCAAAATAAAATCTTCAATATGGTGAATTATTGATGAATGTTTTTTTTTTAAAGCTTATAAAAATTGAAATATAACTAGGTAGTCATTCAAAAATAATTTAAAAAAATAAAAAATCTCCGAAGATCTGAACCAAACCATACCGAACCGTACCGTCCCGATTGTCCTGAATACCGAACCGGACCGAACCGAAAAATAAAAATCTCTGAACCGAACCGAACCGAATTTTTGGTACGGTTCCGGAGATCGAATTTTGGGATCTCCGAAGTTTGGTACGGTTCTGGAGATTTATCAATCTCCGAACCGTACCGACTCACGCTCACCCCTAATGTGATTCATGGATTTTAAAACCATTTGAAAAGGAAAAAGGAGAAGATGAAAATAATAATAATAAAATAGATCAAATTAATAAGTCACAGCATTAATCAATGTACTCCATTCGCAATTAAATGAGATCTAGAGTGCAATATATAACAAAATGAGGGGTTAATTGAATTAGATTTGAAACTTACAATCACAATTGGCAATGTGGGGGAATGTAACTTTGCAGTCACCAGGTAGAGACTGGGCCCTGGTGGTGTTGAGGTTCAGTTGGCTGGCCTGATCTTTAAAGGATTTGCACATGCAGGTCGCCATAGCGTTGGTTCCCGACTGGGCGTCCTGTTTCAAGAGATCCCTCAGGCCAGAGCAGCACGCGGCATCGGGTTTCTTGTCTGTGGCGCCAGCAATCACGAACGACAGGCAGCTCGCCAGTCCCAACAGCGACCCGGTGCAGTCGCCCTGTGAGTCCGGGGCCGGGGCTGTCTCCGGCGCCTGCGCAAGTGCTACCGAGGCCGTCTCCGGCGCCGGCGCCGGTGCCGGTGCTGCCGAGGCCGACACCAAAGCCAGGAGGAGGATCGCCAGTTTTCTCCACTGACTCATTTTTTCTCTTTCTTTTTTTCCCGATTGCCACCGGCAGCAGAGGTCCGTCTTTTCTTCAAAGGGGCGCTATAAATATAAATATATATATTAATAAATAACTTTTTCGTCAATGGTTAATTCGACAATGTTGTATTTTTTTAAAAATAAAAAATAAAAAACGGCCGGTTGATTTTTGGCGCTCGAAAAGTCTAAAGTTTACGAGTTTTATTGCCTGTAAATCGTAATAAAGTAGTAATATCCCATCACTTCTATGTTTCACCTCACTTTTGCAATTAATTGAATGATTAATGTGTGCAATTGTGATATGATTATGTTCACATTTATTTATGTAAATACTGAAATAAAACATCAAGTGAACAAATTTGCATGTGATGTTATTGAAAGAAGCTGGGAAAAACGGATGCAGTCTCACTAACATGAAGCGCATCATAAGCGTGGAAAAATCCATATTAAGCTCAAGTGGCATCCCAAAATCAAATGGTGGAAGGAGTAGTAGTTCATTAGACTTATCAATTAGACCTTTTTTTTCTCTATATAAATGATGTAGCACAACTCACAAGTAATATTCTAACACACCCCTCACTTGTGAGTAGGAGTGTTATCGGTTCGGTTGCCGAACCGATAAGCGTATACCGATACCGAACCGATAATGTCGGTAAACTCGAAATGCAAAACCGATACCAAACCAGTTAAAGTCGGTTACCGAAAATTCATATGACTGCTCGACAGGCCAGGAATCCCACTGTTGCTCGTAGGGATATGATAAAGTCTGGCCATAGTCCTAAGAATCATGGTAAAGAGGTGGCTGGTTCAGACGAGCACACCGGGTTGCAGTCTCTTCTTCCTGAGCTAACCGGGATGCTGAGAAACTGTAGATACGGTCGAGCTTCTTGTTAAACTCGTGGGACTCATAAGTTTGCTCGCTTGTGTAGGGATCCCAACACTGCTCGTAAGAGTACGGATATGACTGGTGGTAGCACCCGACATGATAGCTCAGCTCGTGTACCCAAGATTGGGTGTGCGAATAGGGGAACACACGGTTGTAGCTCATACTATCTGCATACCAAAGCAGAACATCCCCACGTAGTCACGAAAAAGAAGAAACGAATAGACAAAAACAAAAACAAAGAAGAAAACAAAGACACACAAAAGAAAGAACAAAAATACGAAAGACAAAAAACTAAGAGAAACACGGAAAATAAAATCAATACCAAGACCAAATATCCTACTTGTCTTCCACGGAACAACGCCAAATTTGTTGTAGCAAATTATTTTTACCGAGTACGGGATGACTCCCGACCTCGAGTCGATCTCACGAGGAAGGTGATTTAGAATTTAGCTTTGGTATTGACAACACATAAAAAGGAAAACAAATCCTAAACACTCAAATCAGATAAGGATTTTGAATAATTGTCAACTAAGAAATAATAAAAAGCATGAATCTACCTACAAATATAAACGAAACAAATATGAAGAAGTTAGGGAGTCGGGGATAATCAATTCAAGTGTTATTCGCAAAACTGGGACATTAATCGTTCTATTTGAGATTGACGCTCTCGCTCAAACATCTAGCGGTTCGCTCCCAATAACACATCGTAACAAGGGAGTGAACATAGACGAGCAAGCTCTAGCATACACACAGACCAATTATCCCAATCCCAATAATATTTCGTAATAAGGGACGGGTCATCGACAACCACGTATTTCAACCCAAAACCTATAGACTATTCAATTACGAATTCATCTATCTCATGCGAGCCTAGGTCTACGACTTCTCCCTTTCGGTTCTAAAAGCTGCTAATTCAATCAGAAAGTGTTTAATCAACTAATCATATAGAATCAACAAAACCCTAACTCGACCAATCAACATTCAATCGTTTCCAATCGCAAGATCGAAGTGTCACTCCTCGATTATTCCAATTAGTCAAACAAGATTTCATTAATTCTGAATTATATCAACTCACACAAGTACGAACGAATCAAAGCCCAACAAATTACAATTCAAATAAGAACAATCATCCCCTATCCCTAGCAATCAGAATTAGCTACGTAAAATCAATTCGACACAATGTATCATTCTACTCAAATCAACTAACTATATTCATGAATTAATCAAAAGAGAAAACATACAATCAATCTCAAATTCAAGGGTTGAATCTGAATTACAAGCTTAATCCGAAAGCATTGAAGAAATCCAAGTGAAAACCTAGATCAAGATGGTATTCTTAAGGTAAGAAAAGGGGAAAAAACGAGTTTGGGGGATTCTCTTTGGTCTGGTAACGAGTCCCAATGCTAAGTCCTCGAAAAAAACAAAAGAAAAATAATTAAGTTTATAAAAATCCGGTCGCGACCTCGGCGGCCGCTGGGATCTCTGAGGTCACGGGTATTCAGCTTCAGAGGTGCTCCGCGGCTGCGGATTCCTCTCGAGGCCGCGGTGAAGAAAATCGGGCTGTTGCACGCGACTTTACGTTTCGGTCTCGTTTGAGCTCATCCGACTCGGAATTGAGTTTCGTTGTTTCCTACGTGCCGCCAACTGACCCTTCTATATAACTAAGCTCACAAAACCATTTTTTTTCTTCAAATCATTACCGCCCGAAGCTCCCGACCGGCACACCAAAAACGTGCTTCGCTCTACTTCGCGTTCTGGGCTCGTTTGAGCTCGACCGAACTCGAAATTGAGTTCTGTTTTTTCCTAGTTGTCGCCAACGAGCCCTTCTAGACAATTATGCTTGCACGGAAAACTTACTCTTGAAATCCTATCTGCCCGAAGCTTCAGACCTGCACGCCAAAAACGAAAACAAAAAACGGAGAAAACCATAAAACGAAAGAAAAACACAAGAAAAACCGATATTGAAGACACCACGAAATAAACTACAAAAAAATTAAAAACTAACCAAAAGACCCTATATCGGGGGAAAAGAAAAGAAAAATAATCACAAAAATGCAACAAAAATAGGACAAACAAAATATATGATTTGTAAATATCCATTTAGAATAATGTTTAAAACAATATTTAAAAATATTTATTTACTCAGTTTTATGTTCGCTGCAAAAATAATATGTATATTCTAAATGTTTGCAAAATACGTGTCAAAATTTTATGTCGAACTAAAAGAGATTTATGGTTTTTTGTATTATTTTTATTAATCAATTAAAATATGTTAAATTGAAAAACTACTAGAAAACCATTGTCCGTAAAATTTGGCCAAACTTTCACATCTTTACTACATACCAATACGAAGAATTCGTAAAAATCTTGGAATCATTTTGAGCGCTTTTCCAACTAAAAAAGAAATTGATTCCTACCTGTAATGGCTTTATTTTCAACAAATTAGTATAGATTGGAAGATACAGTATCCTTAAAAAAAATTGACTTCTTCTATTTTATAAAAATTATGGTTGGTTCCTTATTACTTTGGATATGAACTTAATAAACAACATTCACTTTTTTTTCTTTTTTTTTT